GAAGTTATATCAAGTTGACACACCAATGGAGAGAGTAGCCATTGACATTGCTGGTCCTTTGCCCGAAACTCGTACAGGAAACAGGTACATTTGTGTAGTTGTATAATCCCAGGAAAACCAAAGGGAAGTCTCCAAAGTTGTCATTTCCATTGGAAGGCCCATATGACATAGTGGATAGTCTCTCAGACGTAACTTTCCGAATAAAATGTGGTCGGCGAGGTAAGCCAAAAGTGGTGCATGCCAACAGGCTTTGGAGCTATAACGGTCCAGGTCATTTCAGTTGGAACAAAGTGAACAATGGAACAAATGACGCTGCTGAAGACGTGTCACCTGAAAAAGCCACTGTCGAAGAAGAAACTCTACCCGATTTTGAGAAGGGAAACAATGAAGCCCTTGATGAAGTTACTACCACTGATGTGACTATTACCGATAATAGGACAATTCCTGATGGAGCAGATGAACCTCACGTGAAGCAGAAGCCAACGAGACAGAGATCAGTATGGAAGAAGATACTTACTGTAAAATTAAGAGACTTTGTTGAATTTTAATGGTGTGTTTGTAAATTCTGTACATTTAATTAAGTTATTGTTAATTATCTATTGGTCTAATTTAAGTGGCTATTGTTCGTGACGAACAATACTAAGGAGGGAGCAGTGTTACGACAGCGGAAGTCATGTGACGCTGGTAACACGTAATGAGTATCTAGAAGGTTCATGAAGCCTCGAGTGTTTTCCAGACGCCCTCTGTTCTATATATATAAGACCGGCAAGAAGTGACGGCATAGATAATTGCAGACAGGCAGAGACAGAGACGGACAGTTGAGTCAAGCGCGGTAGTGACCGTATGTAAAGTGCGTGAATCGTTGTGAATTATAGCGTGTGTGTTTAAGTTAAAGTGACTGTGGCAGTTAAGTGTATTCCAAAGTTGTATTGAGAAAGAATAAACTAGTTTTATTCAAGAAAGGACTTATATCGCTAAAGTTTCATCCGAAAGAAATTATACGGGATATTAACAAACGACTAGAGACGTAACAATACTATCGATTGTGATGTGTAGCAGGCGTGGAAAATCTGGTTATGGTGTCGCTGTTTCTTGTGATTGGGCATCTTCTTGGTGTTTCGGCTCTAAAGTGGAAGAAGTAGTAGGATAGGCCGTGAGTTAGAAGTTGTTGTTCTGTGGTTTGGGAATCGGTGACTATTTTGATGAATCGAGTCGGTTGGCCTGTAATTTTTGATTTTATTCGGTGCACTGCATGAATGGAGAATTCAGGTATGGCGAGAAGGCTAGACTGGATGTCTTCTGGGGATATGGACAGATCGATGTTTCTTAGAAAAACAGAAAAAAGTTGGGCATTATTTCGAGGAGGTTTACAAGATACTGGTAGGTTAGAGTTCCATGGGGAACACAGATAATCTGAGTCTTCGGGGGTGAGGGGTTGAATAAAAAATGGTACAGTGTAGCTGATGGTGAGAGTGTATGTAAAAAGGTGTTGGGATATTTTGCTATAGAAATGGATAAATATATGTATATTTGAAACTATACTTAAGTGTTTAAGTAAAATAAAGATATGTGATGTTAATCAATTTATAAAAACAGGTATGGAAAATTATCTTAAATAAAAAGTAAGATTTTGGAAACTCAGTGTTCACATTACGTGAAAAAAATAAGCAAAGAATATAAATTATTTTTCTGACAAAGATGAAACCAATGAAAGGAGATCACTGATTCCAGGATCTAGATTAATTCCGAAAGGTTGAACAATGTTTAGATTAGCAATTCAATAAGCTTCTTTTATTTCTCTATCTGCTTCAGTTTTGTATCCTGTTTCAATGCCGATGAGAGTAACATCGTTAATGGAATAACCGGGTTTGGTTAAAGTGTTGAGCAACAGGGAGATCTTTGTCGGTGTTAATAGAAGATTTATGGTTGTTAAACTTACATATTCTACATATTGGTAATTGGCACTTTTACAATGTATAAGGTAAATGGTGTTTTTTGTTCCACAAGTGATATATTTGGATATTTTAAAGTTTCTTTGATTGTGCTTGTCAGAAAATGAGTCAGTGGTTTTCATGAACTTGCAGGGCTTTATTACATGGACGACAAACATTGTTGGCTGGGATGTAATTCACTGTTGTGTGAACAAGGATATCTTTTAGGGTTCTGCTTTTTCGGAAGGAGACAATTGTAAGTTCAGGAAATATCTGTTTAAGGCGATCATTCAGTTTTAGGAGATGAAAATGTTTTTGAGAATTCGTGAAACGTTTCTGAGTTTAAACTGATAGGTAATAATAAGAGGAATTATATTTGAATGTTTAGTATTGCTCTGATTTAGGATGTTTTTCCGCTGAATGTTGTTAGCCTTTTCAGTTTGTCTGTCGATTTCGGTATCTTTATATCCTCTTTGTAACACTGTTTGTTTTAGATCCTTGGTGTGTTTTCTGTAGTCTGTTTCATCTGAGTACTATTTTCTTTATTCTAAGAGCTTGACTGTAGGTAATGTTTCGTTTAGTGTGAGAGGAGTGACAGCTTATAGTGAGGGTATTGTGGTCTATCTGTAGGTTTTTTGTACAAATCAGTGTGTAAAATTCCGTCTTTTAGAAAAACAGTGACGTCAAGAAAGTTAGTCCCCCAATGGCACAGCGGTATGTCTGCAGACTTTCAACGCTAGAAACCGGGTTTCGATACCCGTGGTGGGCAGAGCAAAGATAGCCCATTGTGTAGCTTTGTGCTTAATTCCAAACAAACAAGAAAGTTAATCTGGGTTGGTGAGTAATCACCGGTAAACTTGATTGTTTTGTGAAAGGAGTTTGTATGTGAGATAAATTTTTTAAGTGATTTAAGACCGGTAGTCCAAATGAAAAATATGTCGTCTATGTAACGTTTCCATGAATGAGATTTTACAGTGCTAAGTTGTAAAAGCTGATTTTCAATATGAACCATAAATATATTGGCATAAGTGGGAGCCATTTTGGTGCCCATTGCAGTACCGTTATATCGCTAGATGGCAGTACATATAAACGTCGAGAAAACGCCTACACAATATACATAAAATGAATATTTTGTACATCTAGGTTAATCCCAAATTCGAAACTCTTCACAATAAAACATGTTACACGATTCCTCCAGGAAACGCCTTATTATTTTATTTATCGGAATTCTGTATTAGCCTTTATAGAATTCATCTCGCATAACTTACTTCGTATATGAAACACACAGCTCGTGTTTGTTTTAAAATCATAGTAGTATCGTCTCAACTGACATTTCTTTTTACTAAAACATATATATTTGGGAGATTCGCTATAATTCTTTATTTTCAAAGTCTTTCATAATTTAGTTAAACTTCATAATATTTATATGAAAAGCGAATAGGAAAATCCATGCTTTTAATATACTTTCATTGTTTGTAATATCAATCAAATTATTTTCATTGTGTTTTACTCTTTGATCAGTGTCTTTCTTTCACATTTCATTCAAAGTCAGAAATTTCTGATTCACTTCTGCAAAACATATTCTTTCAAACCTCTAGTTATGAAGCAGAACTTACGTGATTATCCTGAACGGAAATCATTGCACCTGAGAACATCACATCAAGTCTAAAGCTATAATTTTAATGTTGTGATTTGATTGTTAGCTAGAGAAAATTATCGGTCGTTGTTGGTCTGTGGCTAGCCAGCATCAAATGTATATGGATGCATAGATGCGAATCCCTTGTGGGGGGTCTGGTCGTTATAACCAGTTGTTACGACAGCGAAAGTCACGTGACGATGCTGGCGCATTGGCGCTGGTGGCATGTGCGAGGAGTTTCTCGAATGATCGTGAATTTTCTAATTTGTTTCAGGCGCCCTCTTTTTTAGTATATAAGTCCGGCAAATAAAGCGAGGATAGAATTGCATAGATAGCAGATAATAAAACAGATATAGATACACTGAAGATAGAAATAATCGAGTCAAGCGAACAGTAGGCATCATAAGTAAAGTGTGTGAATCGCTGTGAATTATAGTATTGTTACCTCGCCGTTCGTTAGTTAATTTCCGTAAATTCGTTCCG